CAACGCTGGCAGCTGCAAGCACCAGTAGCATGTCGCAAGTGGAAGGACATTCCTAATTTTCGCCTGGCAGTTTGTAAAGGCCAATGGCAAGGAATTCAAGTCTGTGACTTTTTGCGCTGGCTTCTTTTAAGGCGATTGGGTGGCTTGTCAGTCGCACTCATATTGCCACTTTGGGGCTTTGCGATTCCGCTCATGTTGAAATATGCACGCATTGACGGTCGAACAGAGTGGAGGAACATGATCAGTTTGAGTTTGTGCTGGCGCAGTGCCACGATGATTGCCACGATGGTTTACGGTTTAGGGTTTAGGCCAGGAGTGGAGCTTTCGTAGCCCAAGTGATCGGCAACATGTGTCATTGCTCATATTGCTCATCCTGCTGTTTTCCTTCTTGTTCTTCCTGTAACAGTCTTTTGCTCAGGTTCAAGTGGTGAATTGGAAACGTACTGAATGTAACCATGGCGAGAAGTGTGCGTATGTGCCGTCAAGCTGGCCGAGGGACGGGCGGGCATGCACATGCTAGAGGAGCTTTCTTTCTCAAGTCGTATTTCTCTGATCTCGCCCTTTAGTATTTGAATACGAGACTATCCCAATCGATGTGGTTTTCCTCCTCATCCCCCTCCTCCTCTTCCCTTCCCCTTTTTGTTCCCTTTCCTTTAATTGTGGCTCCTATGTGGATCCCATTCGAATCCACTTGAATCCTCCCCCCCTCCGTTCTTTCTCTTTACAAGTAACTCCTCCCTGTCGCACCTCGCGGCCAGTTTTTAGGGCGGGCCGGGCTTTTCGCCTGATACTTCCTAACCTTTTTCTGGCTCTGACGCTTAAAAAGTGACAACCGTTTCACAACTGGAGGGCGGGTGGTTTTCAAAATGTGGCCCTCGCCTTGGCGCCGCGCATTTCGTTTTAAACATGTGCAAGGACTTCACGGCTTGAGGGCGGTTCCTTTTCAACATGTGGCTCTCGCTGTAGCGCCGCGCACATTCGTTTAAAAAACTGCAAGAACTCCACGAATTGAGGGCGCCTGGTTTTCAACATGTGGTTCTCGTCTTAGCGACGCGCACATCCGTTTCAAAAAGATGCAAGAGTTTCACGGATTGAGGGCGGGTCATTCTCAGAGTGTGGCTCTCGCCGTAGCACCGCGCACATTCGTTTTCAACTATTCCAAAAGCTTCAAGGATTGAGGGCGGCTCCTCTTCTAGATGTGATTCTTGTCTTAGCGCCGCGCACATTCGTTTTTTTTCTAATGTGCAAGAGTTCCACGGATTCCAATAATCAACGTGCCAGAAGTGGCGTTTTGGAAGGATTCGGGACTATACGGGCGCAACAAATGATTAGCTGTGTTGAAATCCCGAAAACGGCGTTCTGGCATGATTCTGGATCGTCAAGACGCAGCAGTCAGGTTGTTGATACGTGGCGTTGAAATCCCGAGAACAATGTTTTGCCACGCCTCTGGATCTTCAAACTGAGGTCTTCCAACAAGGCAATTCCCTTAATGGAAATGAACCGTTGCAGGGGCCTATGAAAAGAGAGCTTGGATGGAGGGTCAATTCCGGCATCGTTGGTGACACTTGGATTTCTACTGGTCCTCCTCCTCCTCCTCGCCCTTTCTCATTGAATTATTTCTTATTTTGAATCCATTTCAATCCTAATCAAATCCTCCCTCCCCCTCTCCGTCTCGCCCTTTCGCCTATTGAATCCTTATTTGAATCCTATGCAATCCGATTCGAATCATCCCTCCCCCTCTCCACACTCTTCCCGCTGAATCCTGATTTGAATCCTAAGGAACAAGGGTGTCGGTGGGGTTCGGAAACCCAGTGGCATCGGCAGCTCCCCGCACTTGCCTTCGCTCATGAGCTCATTGAACGAGGATGAGGAGGAGGAGGAGAGAGGGATGGAACGAGGGAGGGAGGGAGGGAGAGAAGGAGGGAGGGAGGAGGATGAGGAGAAGGAGGAGGAGGAGGAGGAGGAGGGGGGAGGCAGCGAAAGTGACGACGAGGAGGAAGAGAAGGAGAACGACAATCAGAGAGAACAGGAGAGACGATCCGGAGTGTCGGGAGGTCAAAAGTCATTCGAGATGGAGTGCTGAGGGGGCGGATATACATACACATACATACAGCATTGGCGCGTCGCGCCATGCACTTTGATCCTTCAGGTTTGGCATGCAAGAAGGAAGGCAATCAGATAAATTTCCGCCGCAGCGGCACGACGTCCAGCCAACATCGTCGCAATCCGCGGCGGCGTCCTGGCTTTCGGCAACCGGGGTTTCCGCAGGGAGGCTGAGGCGCAGCGGCATGGGCCCAGACGTCGGCGCCACGCGCACACGCTTCTACGATGTGCGCGTCGAGCCCAAGGGCGACGCGCAAGCTGAGCAATAATGTAGTACAGACTCCGTTTCGGGCGTTTCCTGGATGTACCGCTTGGGAAACGATATACTACAATACTTGTGTACTTGTAGATCGGACGTGCGCAGCGGTCCTGGCCAGGCCTGTCCGCCGCTGCCGCCAGAGCGGCGGGCGCCGGCTGGCCAAGGCGCCGCAGAAGCCCGCGAGCGCCAAGCGCGCTGCCCTCGCCGAGCTGCTCGCAGGCCCGCTCGACGTTCGGAGGTTTCTGCGGCTGGCGGCCAAGCCGTCGGCGAGGGAGCCGCCGTCGGCGATGCCGACGACGATTCCGACGTCGTCGACGTTGATGCTAACGGCGATGCCGAAGATGATGCCGTCGTCGGACGCGCGCCTCCAGCATCAACACACCCAAGACGCTGTGGGGCGCACCCAACTGAACCACTGGGCGGACGGAGCCCGCGCGGGCCGCGAGGTGCCGCGAGGCGGCATTTATCGCGGAGCAGCTCTCGCGGAGCTGCACGGCAAGCCTCGGCAGCGCGTGGGGCAACACGGGGGGGCACAGCGACATCTTCTGTTCGTCGGCGGGCACTTGGATCCGAGGAGCGGTGGGGCACTGGTGGGACGCAACGAAGCAAATTCAGGCGCGGAGGTTAGGAGGGAAAACACGACGGGACGGAAGGCAAAGGCAGATCAGGAGGGAAGGGCATCGCGCGGCGGGAGGGCCTCGACTACCAGTGCCCGCTGGCCTGGCTTGCGTGAGGAGGCGTCCGAGGCCAAGCAAAACGAGACCGAAGCCCAAGAAGGACGCGCTCGAGGGTAATCTCAAAAGTGCAAACCACGCGACCGAGGCCACGGAGAAGCGTTCAAGGGCAAGGAGGACGCCAGAGGTCAAGGAGGACGCGACCGAGGCCAAGGACGCGCTCGAGGTCCAGGATAACGCACCCATGGTCAAGGATAACGCGATCGAAGCCCAAGCTCGAGGCCAAAGAGGAGGCTCTCGAGAACAAGGAGAACGTTTTCGAGACCACAGAAGAGGCGTCCGAGTGCTTACCGTAGCGGGCATGGCCGGGGCGGCCAAGGAAGAATTAAGGAAGCGCCGAAGCGTCACGACTGCGTCTTTCAAAACAAGGCCTGTCGGGCCATGCTTGCGACGGGCACTCTGGCCGCTGCTCATCGGCTCGTCCTGCCGCACTTGCTCAGCGGCCTCGACTCTCACCTTCACCGTGAGCTGCTTGAGATGGGCATCCAGTGAATCGGTTGCGGCACCACGTACTACGGGCGCACAGACGACCTGGATCTCTGGCGCTGCAGCGCCCGTTGAGAGGGTCCTCCGAGTATGGACAACAGCGAGATCAAGCTTGAGCTTTAACACTGCCATCCTGGAGGGTAATGAATACGGGGCCGAAGAGAAAGCCCCCTCGCCCGAAGACCTGACCGCCACATGCCGCGTCCTACAAGCACCGCAAAAGGAGGAGGACGTAGACAATCCGTGTTGAGCTGAAGCGAATGACGCCAACAGCCGGCTCCCATCCGATCCTCCGCCTTATCCCCCGCCTCCTCCTCCTCCTCCTCCTCCTCCTCCTCCTCCTCCTCTTCCTCCTCCTCCTCCTCCTCCGCCTCGTCCTCGTCCTCCTCCTCGTCATCCTCCCCCTCGACCCACCCTTCTCTCCTGCCCATCGCATCATCCCGCAACTCTCCTCATGCCACCGACCGCCGCTTCCACGCGCGCTCCAGCTCCGGCAGTGTAGCGGACTCCGGCGGGGGGTCCGTGGATTACCTACCACAAGTGAAACACCTGGGAGGAACCAGCTCGAAGGGTAAAAACCGAGCTGGAATCGGCGATGTATCGCCGATAGATCGGAGGTAGACCCCTGATGCCGAATTAGCCGAATCCGCAGGGTCCGATCGGACGCCTATCGGCGATGAGTGGGCGATTGGGGGTCGATTCATCCCCCCCTGAGCCTGTCCCCCCTAACGTTGTCCCTGTCATCCCCTGGCATCCTCACTCGGCACATCACACCGAAAAGTTGCAACCGCACTGCATTTTCGGCTGCACGGCAGTATAGAGCAGCCACTGCTATTGTGCCTCTCTCTCTCTCTCGCGTGCCCTAAGGGTTGGAGAAGACCCCCAAGCGCAACTTTGCTTCGTACACCTCCCCGAGCAAGGAGGGTGCCTGCTTCAATTCCGCCTGTTGCTCGCAAGCGCCAATTGCTGCGCTGTAGCTGCTTGTTGACAGCTCCAGCATCAGCGCCCACGCGTCCCTGACCAGCGACAGCGCGTGCTGCCACTCTCCATTATTCCCACACACAAGGGCTCCAGAGCTGTAGCTTATGTCGTCTGGATCTATCCTCGCCTCCCACATCTCGCTCAACAGCGACAGCCCCCGCTGCCACTGCATCCCGTCCTCGCAAGCGCGGATCCCGAGGTTGCAGGTGAAGACATCGGGCTCCAGCTGTGCCTCCCACAGCCCTGTCAACAACGACAGCGCCCGCTGCCACCGCCCACCTGTCTCGCACGCGAGCACCGCAGCGTTATAGCAAACAACGTTGGGCTCCAACTTCACCCCCCTCATCTGGTTCAGCAACGACAGAGACTGCTGCCATTGCCCAGGGCCGCTGTGGTCGCACGCATTGATCCCAGAGCCATAACTGATAACGTCTGGCTCAAGCTTCGCTCCCCACATCGCGCTGAGCAACCAAATAGCATGCTGCCACTGCCTGGATCTTCCGCACGCGCTGATCCCAACGTTGTAGCTGAATAGGGTGACTCCGTGATTTACCATCCTCGTTCGCCAGGGGAGCTCCACGATTGATTTCGAAGAATGCCCGCCAGAATTAGTATGGTGGTATATTGGCTGACACATGTCCCCAAGCATCATGAATTCTCCGCGTGACACTGAACTGTAAAGACAATGGGTCTGCTCGTGATTCGGGCATGCAAGGCACACATTGCATGTATAGGGCACGTTGTGTGTATATATATATATACATACATACATATATATATACATATACATATACATATACATATACATATACATATACATATACATATACATATACATATGTATGCATCCATATCTATGTGTATTATAACCACGCGCGCTTCGCGCGCGCTTAGGTTCTGGTCGCAGCTGCGACACGTGTTACGGCTCTCGCTTTCCCTCGTGTGATCGGCGACATTGCGAAGTCCACTGAATCTGGGGGTTGCAGAGTCTCCATCCGCCTCGGCCCCCTCCCCTCCCCATCCCTCGTCATCGTCCTCCTCCTCCTCCTCCTCCTCCCTCCTCCTCCTCCTCCTCCTCCTCCTCCCCCCTTCTCCTCCTCCTCCTCCTCCTCCTCCCCGTGTTCCTGTTCCTACTCCTGCTCTTCGTCCTCATTCCCTCCTCCTCCTCGTTACTCCATGTTCATTCCTCTTCGTCCTCCTCTTCCTCTTCCTCCTGCTTTTCCTCCTCCCCCTCCTTCTCCGTCGTTCCCTTCTGTCCCATGCCCCCCTCCTCCCCTCCTGGCCCGCGCCCGCTGCTCGGGGCGTTTTTCCTTGCCCCCCCCCCCACCCCCCTCCTGCCGGCCGGGAGATCTAATCCGCGGGCGGCCGAAGTGCGTTCGGCGGGCCAGGGGCCCCCCGGGCGGCTTGCAAGAGGCAACCGCTCCAGCTTAGATTTGGAGGCGCGGAGAGGAGCGGGGAAGGCTTAAGAAACTTCTCAGAAGGCCGGGGGGGGTCCGAACCTTCTGAGATGGCCCGCCCCTTCTCGCCACCCCCTGGCTCGCCGCTGAAGTTGGGCAACGCAGATTTGCGGTGCCCAGCGCAACTGTTGCAACTATGTTAACAAGTGGTTTGGACCCAGGACATACAACGCATTGCCGGAGTCCGGACACGAGGCGCCGCGAGGCCATCCGAACCAGTGAGATCGTCGAAGCCGAAGGATGACCAAATCCAGCCGAAGGAGCTCGGGCCAAATACGGCGCAGTAGGCCGCGCTCCTTTCGGAGGGGGGGGGGGGGAGGGGGGCGGCTCTGATGGCTCCGATGATACGAAGCGCCCCGGCATCCCCTGGCCGCGCGCCTACGCCGCGGGGGGCCAAACCGTCCGCGGCCGCGGGGCCGCGCCAACCGACCCCGCGGGCCCACGTCGAGCCCCGCAGGGCCCAGCCCGACGAGCCTCAACGGGCCCCTGCACGATGAAAGGCCCACCGACGCGCTCGCCCCGCTGCGAACGCGGCTCCCCCGCCACATTGCCTTCCCCCCGGGCCCCCTTTTCACAATGAAAAATTATCCCGGCAAAGCAACCTAACAGCGATGTGTAGGAGCATATCTGGAAGCATTCCCCTTAAGATTCAGATGAGAATCCTGTTGTAGAATTCTGCAATTCTCGCAGTCGTAGTCGCATTCGCGATGGCAGTCGCAGTGGCAACGGCAGTCGCAGTCACAGCCTCATCCTCAGCCTGCCTCAGCCTCAGCCTCAGCCTGCCTCAGCCTCAGCCTGCCTCAGCCTCAGCCTCAGCCTGCTTCAGCCTCAGCCTCAGTCTGCCTTCAGCCTCGGCCTCAGCCTCAGCCTGCCTCAGCCTCAGCCTGCATCAGCCTCAGCCTCAGCCTCAGCCTGCCTCAGCATCAGCCTGCCTCAGCCTCAGCCTCAGCCTCAGCCCTCAGCCTCAGCCTCAGCCTCAGCCTCAGCCTCAGCCTCAGCCTCAGCCTCAGCCTCAGCCTGCCTCAGCCTCAGCCTCAGCCTGCTCAGCCTCAGCCTCAGCCTCAGTCTGCCTTCAGCCTCGGCCTCAGCCTCAGCCTGCCTCAGCCTCAGCCTGCATCAGCCTCAGCCTCAGCCTCAGCCTGCCTCAGCCTCAGCCTCAGCCTCAGCCTCAGCCTCAGCCTGCCTCAGCCTCAGCCTCAGCCTCAGCCTCAGCCTCAGCCTGCTTCAGCCTCAGCCTCAGTCTGCCTTCAGCCTCGCCTCAGCCTCAGCCTGCCTCAGCCTCAGCCTGCATCAGCCTCAGCCTCAGCCTCAGCCTGCCTCAGCATCAGCCTGCCTCAGCCTCAGCCTGCCTCTGCCTCAGCCTCAGCCTCAGCCTCAGCCTCAGCCTCAGCCTCTTCAGCCTCAGCCTGCCTCAGCCTCAGCCTGCCTCAGCCTCACCTGCCTCAGCCTGCTTCAGCCTCAGCCTCAGCCTCAGCCTCAGCCTCAGCCTCAGCCTGCCTCAGCCTCAGCCTCAGCCTGCTTCAGCCTCAGCCTCAGCCTCTGCCTTCAGCCTCGGCCTCAGCCTCAGCCTGCCTCAGCCTCAGCCTCAGCCTCAGCCTCAGCCTCAGCCTCAGCCTGCCTCAGCCTCAGCCTGCTTCAGCCTCAGCCTCAGCCTGCCTCAGCCTCAGCCTCAGCCTGCTCCAGCCTCAGCCTCAGGTATGCCTCAGCCTCGGCCTCATCCTCTGCCTCAGCCTCACCCTGCATCAGCCTCAGCCTCAGCCTCAGCCTGCCTCAGCATCAGCCTGCTCAGCCTCAGCCGCAGGCTGCCTCAGCCTCAGCCTCAGTCTGCCTTCAGCCTCAGCCTGCCTCAGCATCAGCCTGCCTCAGCCTCAGCCTCAGCCTGCCTCAGCCTCAGCCTCAGCCTGCTTCAGCCTCAGCCTCAGTCTGCCTTCAGCCTCGGCCTCAGCCTGCCTCAGCCTCAGCCTGCCTCAGCCTCATCATTCAAAATGTGCCCCGGGAATGGAATTCTGGGAACTCGAAGACCACGAAGTGGCGTACAGTTGGCTCCGGGCATTCAAAATGTGGCCCAGGAATGGAGTTCTAGGAACTCGAAGAGCACGAAGTGGCCGACAGTTGGCTCCGGGCATTCTTAATGTGGCCCCGGAATGGAGTTCTGGGAACTCGAAGACCACGAAGTGGCCTACACTTGGTTCCGGGCATTCAGAATGTGGCCCGGGAGTGGAGTTCTGGGACCTCGAAGACCACGAAATGTTCAACTGTTGGCTTAAAAAAAACCCGGCACCCTCCCCTGGATCGCGCCCAGACCCCCTCTGGGACCGTCACGATGCTCTCTTTTGACCCTACTAGAAACCTATCAGTCTTCGCTGTTAGGTAATTTACGCGCGTTTTCGCCGCGCTGCCCCTGCGGCGGTTCCTTCGCGATATTCTCGATATTCTCGACCTCCCCGAACGACGCCCCCGCCGCGACGCCAACAGGCCAGATGGGCCGCACATCGAAGCAATTCTCGACACTCTGCGCCGAATGCAGCTCTGGCGCAGCCACGGAGCTGCCCAGGCCGCGCTGCACCGCTGGCCACTCCCCAACCTTCTCGTCGATTGCCGTCGGCACCTCATTCACCGTGGAGCGGGGGGCGAACGGCACCAAATCACCGCAACAATGCCCCGCCTTCATGTCACAATTCCGGGGGTTCGACCCCAGGGCCTTCTGTCCGCGCTGCCCCGAGACGTCCGCTAGACCGCCAGCCTCGTTTACCTCGAACAACCCGAACCTGTTGCTGACTTCTACCGCGAAAGAGACAGCGCCCCCGCGGGCCATAGCGACCACCTGCTGAGTTTCCTCCTGGGCCTCGTTGCCGCCGTCGTTCCAGTCGTTGAAGCTCTAATCGCTTCCCGCCAAGTCCACCACCCCGCTGTCGTTGTCCACCAGGTCGAACCATGGCGGTCTGCTAACCCCGAACTCCTCGCTCAGCTCCTCGTTGCATTTGGTCGACGACTGGGATCCCTCAGCGACGACTTCTCCCTCTTGCCCTTCATGTAACTGTTGTAGCTTCTTTCCTTCTCATTCTTGGCAATCCTGCTGCGCGGGCTGCGGCTGCGCGGGGTCGCCGCCTCCATCTTCCCCAGCACCCTCTGCGAACTCGGCGGCTCCCTCGCGACGGTCACCAGGGCCCGTTCGAAGGCCTTCCGCGCCTTCGCCCTTGCGGCGTCGGCCGTCGAGCCCTGGCCAGGGCTCCGCCTCGCGCGGGGCTGGCGTCGGCTGCGACCAAATCGCCAGGCAGGGGCGGTACATCCTCGATCGCAAGGCAAGGGCCGCAGGGCCGCCACCGAAGCCACATTGGGCCATGCCTCGCTGCACCAGGCTTAGCTTTGCGCAGCGGCGCCGCTGGCTGCTGGGGCGGGCGGGACGGCGAGCGCACCAGGCGGGCCCCGAATGCCGCCGACACCGCCGCCCCGACCGCCATTTTTACCACCTCCGCCACGGGCGTTGGCTCGGCTTCCCGCCTCGCCGTTGCGCCCTGGCGTGGGCGTGGGCTGGGCACTGCCGCGGCTGCCCCGGCCTGGCGGCAGCGCCACGGCGCGCCTTCCGCCCCAGGCGTGTCGCGCCGTGCCATACACTGGCCTCAGCCTCTCCTTCGCCTGGTTCCCTGCCGCTGCGCCGCTTCGAAGCGCGCGGCAGGGCGTGAAAACGCGCGCGCGGCGGCCGCGCGGGCGCGGCGCACGGATGCGCCCGGGCTCTCGCCGAAACTGCTAGGAGGAGGAGGAGGAGGAGGAGGAGGAGGAGGAGGAGGAGGAGGAGGAGAAAGAGGAGGAGGAAGTGAAGGCACGCCCACATCGAGAAGAGCGCGCAGAGCACTGCACAGGTAGAGGGGACGAGCAGGAAAAAGGACGAGCACGCGCAGCACCACGATTACATAAAAGAAAAAGCATGAGCGAGCGAAAGCGGGCTCAAGCTACCCCAGACGAAACCAGAAGCAGGCATCGTCTGATGGCAAGAGGGGACGGGGGTCACCCCTCCACTCTCCCGAGATGGGGTCCTTACCTTCCTCGAGGGACTAAATAAGTTGAGTCTT